GTGATTTTGAATAATTTCATATGATGTTTTAACTTGACTATTGTATATTTTTATATGAAATTATATATGTTTTATAAGTGAAAGGGTTTGGCTTTGGTCCAGTCCAAGAACGAACTAGACCATGCTGTTCGGCCGTGGGGGCTCACCACGAATCCCGTTTTGATAATACGAACCGTTCAATATGTAGAATTCGTCGAGTACTATTTGCCTATAAAAAATCATGTTGATCGGATATCGATAGCTATGTGATCAAAACAGTTTTTTGCCAACCGTTAATTTGTTCACCATCCATTTTTTTATACAAAACTGATTTGATCACATAGCTATCGATGTCCGATCAACGTGATTTTTAACAAGCATAATGTACTTGACGAGTTCTACACACTAAACGGTTTGGATTATCAAAACGGGACCCATGATGGGCCTCCATAGGCCCAACAGTACCAAAGCCGAACCCTAAGTGAAATTATATATTTGGTGAAAGAAATTATATATTTGGTAAAAGATTTGATTATGCTCTGTCATAATTAGCTTGCTTTTTATAAGGGGAAATGCTTGAATTTTTTATGGGTAAATTACAAATACATTTCTAGATTTGTTTAAAATACAAATTGTCTCATGTGGTTTGAAAAATTATAAATACCTCCTTATTAGAATTTTTTATTTAACAGAATTAACTAAAAAAATGAAATTCATAATTGCTCTCCTATACAATAATAAAATTACCTAAATTATTAATTGAAACACATTTTTAACATCATTAAAAATTGTTAATTAACTTAATGATTTATTAATAAAAGGGGCGATTTTTTATGAAATTAGAAACCTCAAGGGGTGGAATGTAATTTTCAAAATCACAAGGGGCGATTCATATTTTAATCAAATCTCAGGGCGTGTATTTGTAATTTATCCATTTTTTATTTATCAGGTTTGTCACTTTGAAAGTGACATGGAACATCATGTATGGGATTTAAAAAGGTATAATATTATATTGACTATCTTTTTTAAGTATTTATGTAGAAGTAAAAAAATGTTATTATGAATAAATTTTTCCTTAATTTAGTTATAAATTTTTCTGTATATTATTTTTAAATTTTGAATAAAAGAAGATATAAAATAATTGATTGAAGAAATTTTCCGTAGTTTTTTGAAAATATCTGGTTGGAATTAATTCTTCCTGTATACAATTCATGTCGGCACCACTATCAACAAGGGCTACTGCTTCTTTGATAATAAAATCAGGTTGAATAACAAAAGTAATACGAATATACCATTCCTGGAATGTAACCTAATTAACAAGCATCTATACTGTTTATCTTTCTGTTCAGGAGTTTCTGGAGCACCACTTTTACCAGTACTTTTACCTTTGTGGTTAGCTGTTTTAAGTTGATGTAAATCGGCCTATATAGCTTGGTTAGCAAGTTGAAGGTGTCTAATTTCTATTTTTAAGACATTAATTTCCATTTTCAAGTCTTGGATGGTGACAGGCTTTTCAATTACAACTGAAGACTGCATCCTATTCAAAACATCCTTCATGCTATAAGATTGAAGAGGAATTAAAGGAGGTTTAGTAACAGCCTTTTGTTGTTGATAACAAATATCTAAAAATTTCAGCTTCATTTCTGTATCTTTAATTTGTTTAGCTAGATCTAGCGTAGATTTCTGATCATCAGTTAAAACATGAATACTAGGACCCCCAAGGTCCAAATCATTTAGTTCAACAATAGATTTCCAGTAATTTATTTCAGAAATTTGATTCAGATTTGTAGAACAAGAACAATTAGGTTCTGGGGTTTCTTCCTCATTACTAGAGGTAGATGTTGAGTGAAGCTCAGCGAGCCCATTTGACTCAGAGCTAGTGTCTGTTTCTTCTTCAGATAAGGTCTGTAATAGCTATTGAGTGATAATAGGATCTAAAGACATTTCATTAATTTTCTGTTTTAATTTAGATCGACAACTGTTAGCATAATGTCCAGTTGTTCCACACTTATAGCATTTAACATCTTTTTTAGAAGTCCGCTTTCTATCGGTGGATTTCCAGGTTTGAGAAGAAAACTTTTTCTGGTAAGAGGCTGAGGAGGGAACACTTTTGGATTTTTTATAATATTTATGATACTGTTTGGAAGGTTTTTTGTATAAGACTTCTGGGATTTTCGAGGGATACTGGATTTTGGTGTCATAAGGAAATTGATCACAAAATTCACCTAATTCTTTTTTCCCAGTAAGATTCTGTTTTTCCATTTGGTATTGAAGTTTAAGCTCATTACACAAAGAATATAGCGATCCCGGTTGTCCCTTTACTATTCTGTCGTATTCCGGACTCGGTTCCGTGAAGTTGGTAGTGGTATCCATCTTGTTACCGTCCTTTTATTCCACTTGATTGAGTTTTAGGATGTTTATGGGCTTGTGTTGAACAGGTGGGTTAAGCCTTGGTCTATATCCTTGTTGCCCAGGTTTTTGGTGTTACGCTCGAGCGGGTCATTATGCGCTCGAGTGGAGTTTGGTTTCTAGTTTAGCGCTCGAGCGGGTGTTCTGGCGCTCGAGCGGAGATTGCACACTCCCAGTATTTCGTGTGCCTACAAAACTTCTGCAGAGGTGTTTTCTACGCTCGAGCGGCGTTTTCTGCGCTCGAGCAGGTAGCGCTCGAGGGGGATTGTTGGAGCTCGAGCGGGTAGTTCTGTCTTGGTGAGGGTTCTGGGAGAGGGAGATTTGCGCTCGAGCGGACTGGTTTTCTCGCTCGAGCGGATGTACTTTATTCCTGTGTCTTGGCACTCGAGCGGGCATTATTGCGCTCGAGCGTGTCCAGATTTTTGTTCTTGGCACTCGAGCGTTGTGTTCTCCGCTCGAGCGGGTCATACGTATATGAGTTATCCGCTGGGTGATTTTAAATCACTTTTTGCTTTTCCTTCTCTCTCCTACTTTTTCTAAAAACCATTTTGAGAGCCTCTCTCTCTAGAAACTCCCTTCTCTCTAGGGTTTGATCTAGTTAGAGTGTCCTCCTTCTCTTCGGCCTTTGTAAAAGTTGTGTGGATCGTCGAGGGCGTCATTTTGATCCGAGAATCTTGGTCTTTGGAGCACTTTGGTTTTGGTCTCTTCTCCATCCGAGCTCTAATTTCGAGGTAGGGATAACCTACTCCTTACTATGAGCTTTGTCTTTAAATTTTAGTGTTTTGAGATGTTGGGGTTGGTTTGGTAATTTTGTGAAAGATTGGGGCTTTTGTGTAAGTTTACAAAAGAATTGGGGTTTTAGCTATATAAAGCCTAAATGCATGTTTGGCATGGAAAAGTGAAATTAATGTTGAAACATTAATGAAAATGGAACCTAAGGGTTGTAATGTTAATTATGGAAAATGCCCTAATTACATTGATTGATTAATTTGTAAAATTAATTGTTGGAAATGAGGGATTGACTTGAAAACGTGGAAATTGGAAAGGGAAGGGGTTAAAGGGTGTAGTTGGATTATTTATCACTCACCTAGTTGGAATGTTGATTATATATCCATTGTTGCATTTATTTTCTGTATAGAAATAACTGCTTTGGGCTATCGGTGGAGGATAGTCGTGTTTGTTGTAGACAATGTATGATGATTAGGCAAACTGAAACTAATCACTGGAATGTGTCATTGAGCATGACGGTTGAAAGAATACATTAAATTTATGTGTTGTGTGATGATGTGTATAATTATTGTTTATATGCATTGTGTTGTGTTGGAGGAGATAGGGGATGTACTCCACGGTTTAGGGGAAGATAGGGGATGGACCTCTAAACCGGATGTTGATTGGGAGGAGATAGGGGATGAACTCCATAGATAGAGCTCATATGCTTATCTATTAATGTGTTGACAGAGCTCATATGCTTGTCATTGGAAGTGTGATAGTGCTCATATGCATATCTGTGGAAGTGATGATATAGCTTGTATGCTTATCTGTTGGTGTGTGATATAGCTAGTATGCTTATCTATTATGAAATGGGAAAGTGCTTAATATGAGTTGCTGGCTCATATGAGTTGTTTGGCCAGGTTCTGAGCCATGGTTATAAATTAAGAATCTGAAAGGAATTGGAAAATGAATTGTAACATGGACTTGTATGTCATGAAACTGTAAAGTGTGATAAGGGAAAGTATCAGTGTTGGCCATCTATCAACTGCTAATCTTTTAGTCATTGTTCATATTTGGTTTAGTATATTTCTACTGGGCTGTGGCTCACCCTATATGGGAATATCATTTTCAAGTATAGGTAGCATGCCACCTCCAAGGACGTAGCTTGGGAGGCTAGATGCAGGCGGACTTTTGTTGTTTTATTTCTTTGACGTATTACATGTATATTCAAGCCAAGGGCTTAATGTGTAAATGAGTTAGCACTCTTTTGTTGTAACCAAGTGTTAACTTGGAAAGCTGTAAGCCTTTAGGGCATTTGCTTTTGTTGTTAACATGTAATACTTTTGATAATGAAACTCTGATGAATAGAAGAAAATGGAGCTTTTATATATATCAATGCATGTCTCTGTTGATGGGTTTAAAGTTATTATTTTGAGGGCGTTACAAAGAAAGACCTTCTATGATGAGGCCTGAGTTGGTCGTAGGTGTACTAGTCATAAGAAATGGCCATGCGATCATGGCGATCGCAAAGTTTTTTTCGAACTTTTTCTGCAAAAAGATTAGGAAGGCCATCAATAAATTTGGCTTTCCAATGGCTACTGTTAGCATCAGGTCACTGCATAACCTTTAACAAGAACACATCTTTGTACCGAAAATGGGTTAAATATGGGCATCTAAGGTTCTGAAGTAATTCACGGCTTCGGTCATCATTAACTGAAGGGATTGGGAGGAGGTGACTCCCGACATAAGTATAGTTTATATCCATTTTTTATTAATATAGTTTATAGCCGTATTTATCACATGACTGCTTTAGGTTCTGAATGACTCCTTAAGGTTCCGAGTGGGATCTCTTCCCTGTGTATTTGGGACTTTCTTTGGGATCATTTGTACCAACTTACCGTTGCTTCACGGGACGACGGGCATTGTAGACTGATATCCACTAGGTAGCAGGACTACCTAGCCGTATTTTCTTCTTAGGTTGCTCATCTTCTTCCAAATTTATAAGCAATCTTCCACGCTTTTGCCCGACCTGATCTTGCAAAAGATAATAGAAAAAATAACATATCAAGAATCTTACAAAAATTTTAAAACAGAAAATCACAGCAATAACCTTAAGGGCACCATCAATTTGAATTGGTCTCAGTGACGTGCATGGCTCAATCAGACTCTCAAAAAAGGATATCAGTTTGGCATAATTTGGTTCCTCATCAAATTTCATATTTGTCACAGATTCAAGGGACTGTTTGAATGGGGCAGGACAAAAGCAACACATCAATTCCAGAGAAGTACCCATTTTCTTTTTAGAAACAAGAAAACTCTTGTTGTCTCCCTATATTATTCAAAACAAAAAGGGAAGACTTAATGATGTAAAAATTAATCAGCTGATGTGAAACCTCAACATGGACATATAGAAGCAATAATGCTAACTCACCTGATAACCCTGCCATGGTAATCTTCCTTTAATGAGAAATATCAATGTATAAGCTAATGACTCAAGATCATCCCTTCTACTTCCTGTCCGACCTAAATGTGCATGGACACTTGCATATCTTATCGTGCCCCTGTCATAGAAGCTTCTTAGTACATGTTAACCAAACGTAATTTGAATAACACAAGAAGTATAATAACCTGAATATATCAGGCCGCTGATCATATTCAACATGTTGTCCAGATGATGCATCCTTCCATTTAGATGCTAAACCAACACAAACTTATTCTGAATAACATCATCTAAATTTTTTCTGATGATAGGCCTGACTGGTACGGCATTCTTGATTTGCCATCGTTCTGGAAATGTAATATTGTTCCACGGAATCATTTTAGGAACAAGCTACCTGACTACTAAAAAGGTTAGTATCAATTAAGACAGTTTGTCCTAATTCACTATGTTTTCTGATATAAGGGTTTAAGGTGCTTAAAACCATAAGATGAATTTTGAAAATGGTGGATAACGGTGGTGATCCTGGTAAATACTGGTAACCATTTGTTAAAATTCTAAGTTCAAGTACTTTAGACAAGTTAGGGTCTATAATTGCTATGCTCAAATTCGGGTATATATTAAAATATACTGGTCTATGAGATAAACTGGTTTCGATTGCTTCCATCAAAGAAGCTTTCCAATCAAGACATCTACCATCCCTGAGTGTACATGTAAGACTGGTATTTTGTCCTAACAAAGTCAAGGGTTTAAAAACTATCTGGACAAGTCCTATGTGGACAGATTTATATTTTTTCAGAAAAGGTACCAAATACTATATTTGAAGTAGTTGAATTACTTCATCATCATTCTGTAAAGGAATTTCATGTTCAAAAGTTTTAATGATTTTTCTACTGGTAAAATCAAAGGTTCCAAGTCAATACATAAAATATTGGGACAACAAATCAATATAGCAGAAACATCAAAATATTCTTTAAAAAATTTGGATCCACATTAGTTTTAGATGAATCATGTAAATTTTTGTGTTCTATATGTGTGCTTGTTTTCATTTCTTATTCTTGTTTATATTTGTGTTTGTCTCACTGATTCTAATTAAGTATATCAATTCCTAACACGTTGATATTCTCTCTATGTAACACAGGTGATTAAAATGCCACAAACTCGTTTAATTGCTTTTATGTTAAAACAAAGTATTAGGTAAAAGATGAAAAATATTCTTGTGAGAATAAATGGCATGGGGATCAACAAATATGTTGGTAACAATGCCTGTCCAAATGTGAATTGTTATCCTCTCCCTATATATATTATGCGGAAATATTATTATTATTATTATTATTATTGACACTTCCATTATAAAATTTATTTGCGGAAATATTATTATTATTATTATTATTATTGACACTTCCATTATAAAATTTATTTGCGGAAATATTATTATTATTATTATTATTATTGACACTTCCATTATAAAATTTATTTGCGGAAATATTATTATTATTATTATTATTATTGACACTTCCATTATAAAATTTATTTGCGGAAATATTATTATTATTATTATTATTATTGACACTTCCATTATAAAATTTATTTGCGGAAATATTATTATTATTATTATTATTATTGACACTTCCATTATAAAATTTATTTGCGGAAATATTATTATTATTATTATTATTATTGACACTTCCATTATAAAATTTATTTGCGGAAATATTATTATTATTATTATTATTATTGACACTTCCATTATAAAATTTATTTGCGGAAATATTATTATTATTATTATTATTATTGACACTTCCATTATAAAATTTATTTGCGGAAATATTATTATTATTATTATAAATGGTAGACAAATAACTAATTTAATATTTTTATATAGATTAATGATTATATTTAAAAGTGGCTCAAGTTTGAAAAAGTTTAAACCGATTAAACCGCACCAAACCGAACTGCTTCAATTAGTTCAGTTCGGTGTGGTTTGATGTGAGAAGCGGTCTGTATTGGTGTTCAAAATAATAAAACCGACATTATCGATTCGGTGTAATTTTTTCCCTAAATACTGACCGTACTGAACTGATTACATCCCTACCATTCATTAAAGAGCATATGTCCAGTTGTCTCTTAAAAAGAAACAAAAAGATTGTGGATCTCACTGCTTCAACCAATAAAAATTAAATTGGAGCACATACCACATGAGCAAAAAATAATTCTCCATACTCTTAGAGCACTTGTTAATGTTCTTAAAATGATTATATTAAGAAAAATAATATATAAGTTCACTTTTTAGACCAATTTTTTAGACTTAATGATATGTAAATAATTTGTTTTAGTTCAACATTTACATTTTTATCAAACAACTATTCAACTTAAAAAAATTCAGTATTCGACTTTTATACTTAATTTTTACTTTTTTAGCTTTCAGTTTTCAGTTTTATGAAATACCACCTAACAAAAAATCTTTTACTAATAAGGTGAAATTTCAGTGGGTAAATTAGATTGACCACCTAAGATGCAAGAAAAATCGATGGAACCGAACTGATCAATCAAACCTGATCGAAATCAATTTTCGATATACTATTCATATGAGAGTTTTTGGGATTCATTGCCTTAGTATGTTTTTCCAATTAAGTGCCGACTTGTAGCTAGGGGCGGATTCATTGTTCTAGGAATTTTCCCCAATTAATTTCTCAACCCTAATATTTATTGTTAATTGAATTCTTCTTTTTCATTCTAATTATCGTTTCAATATTCACTACAAGAAAAAGCATTTTTGGCAACTAAATTTTTAGTCGCCAAAAGTCCGTTTTTATTCGCCGAAAGTCGAGTTTTTACTTTCAGCGACTAATTTTTTTAGTTGTCCCTTTTGTCGCGCATATATGGTCGCTGGAGGTATTGGCGACTAAAATTTTTTTAGTCGGCAAAAAATATCTCTTTAGCGACCAACTTTTGAGTCGCCAATAGTGATTTACACTTTTTAAAATCACACATTTGGCGACTAATCTTTTAGTCGCCAATAGTCCATGAATCGCCGACAAAACGGTTTAGTCGCCCAAAATAAACACTTTTGGCGATTAAAATTTTCGTCGCCAAAGGTCCTTCCGTGAAAAAAAAAAAACCCAATTTCTTTGCTTTTTTTGAGATTCGAACCGCCAACCTCTCCCACATTCGAACCGCCAACAATTTTGGCAACACACTCCCTCCACTATGCCACTTAAACATCACATGGATATATATGCAATATATATTATTTATATAGTATATTGACAGGTATTAATACAAAACTATATATATAAATATAATTATTTTTATTCAATATAATTTATGTAAAAAATAAATTATTTATTAAAAAAAATTTAGGCCACTTTTGGCGACTAAATCCATTATTTAGTCGCCAATTCTATTATTTTGGGCTACTAATTAATTTTTTGTCGCTAAAAAAATAAGTTCAAATTAAAAATAAGCAGTTTTGGCAACTGAATCTGTTTTTAGTCGCCAAAAACGTCTCCTTTTGGCTACTAAAATTTTAGTCGCCAATTGACTGTTTTTAGCTACTATTTTTTTTTTGTAGCCAAAAAGCTTCATTTTCAGCGACCAATCTGTTTTTAGTCGACAATACACCTATAATCAGCGACGAAAATGTGTTTTACTTGCCAAAACCATCACTTTTGGCTACTAAATTATTTTAGTCGCCAAAAACCGTCACTTTTGGCTACTAAACAACCTTTAGTCGCTAAAACCCCTACATTCGGCGACTAAACTGCCTTTTAGTCACTAAAGCCCCTGTATTCGGCGACTAAACTCTTTTAGTCGGCAAAAGTGTTCAATTTTGGCGACTAATTCCATTTTAGTCGCCAATTCTACTACTCTCAGTGACGAAAAATGAAGTTTTAGTCGCCAAAAATGTTTTGTCTTGTAGTGATTCATCAACCATTTTCATCAAATTAATTTAAGATTACAAAATATATAAGGTAATTGTTTACTCCTCAACTATAAATACATAAAAGATTGGGACAACAAATCAATATAGCAGAAACATCAAAATATTCTTACTCTAAAAATTTTGGGATCCACAGTAGTTTTAGATGAATCATGTAAATTTTTGTGTTCTATATGTGTGCTTGTTTTCATTTCTTATTCTTGTTCATATTTGTGTTTGTCTCACTAAATCTAATTAAGTATATCAATTCCTAACACGTTGATATTCTCTCTATGTAACACAGGTGATTAAAATGCCACAAACTCATTTAATTGCTTTTATGCTTAAACAAAGTATTAGGTAAAAGATGAAAAATATTCTTGTGAGAATAAATGGCATGGGGATCAACAAATATGTTGTTAACAATGCATGTCCAAATGTGAATTGTTATCCTCTCCCTATATATGTTATGCGGAAATATTATTATTATTATTATTGTTATTATTATTATTTTTTTTTTTTGGCACTTACATTATAAAATTTATTTGCGGAAATATTATTATTATTATTATTATTATTATTATTATTATATTTTGACACTTGCATTCTAAAATTTATTTGCTAGTATACGTTGAGAATGGTGTTATGTGTACTTGGTGGAGAAAGTTATTTGATGGTCTTGGAACATTATTTCATACCATTCATTGAAGAATATTTGTCTAGTTGTCTCTAAAAAAGAAACAAAAAGATTGTGGATCTCACTGTTTTAACCAATAAAAATTAAATTGGAGCACGTACCACATGAGCAAAAAATATTTCTCCACACTCTTAGAGCACTTGTTAATGTTCTTAAAATGATTATATTAAGAAAAATAATATATAAGTCCACTTTTTAGACCAATTTTTTAGACTTAATGATATGTAAATAATTTGTTTTAGTTCAACATTTACATTTTTATCAAACAACCATTCAACTTAAAAAATTCCAATATTCAACTTTTAGTACTTAATTTTTACTTTTTAACTTTCAGTTTTCAGTTTTATGAAATACCACCTAACAAAAAATCTTTTACTAATAAGGTGAAATTTCAGTGGGCAAATTAGATTGACCATCTGAGATGCAAGAAAAATCGATAGAATCGAATCGATCAATCAAAACTGATCAAAATCAATTTTCGGTATACTTTTATAGCATATAGTTTGTTTTGATTTTGAAAATGTTTATACGAATACAAACTAAACTGACCGAATATTATATGTAAATACTTTTTTTATTTTAATTTTTTCAACATTATAAGATAAATGACTAATACAATACACTTTTGTGGTAAAAACTAGGGAGAGAAACAT